CCCGCACCGCACGGAAAGGGCTCCTGGCTCATCGCGCTCTGCCCAGCTCTCTTCGCGCTGTCTAGGAAAAAGGAGAATTTACACTCTCCGAACCAATTCATTATTTACTCAGTATTATCCCTCCTTTGTTTTTCTTCAAGTCCAGACACTGTTCTGGGTCAATTTTCATCCGTGCCTTCAGTAATTTCTGCCATCCTCGCCACAGCCTTTCTGTTCCTGCTGTATCCTCTTGGAGGGAGACCAAAACTGGACCCAGCAGCCAAGATGAGATACTCCATGGATTTACCAATAATACTCCAACACCTGCAGTCACATACTCTACAGCTTTCTGGACATAATCCAACAACTTCTTTTTGACACAAAAAGGCACAAAATGAAGCATGTCCATACTCACACATGTTAAGTAAAATGTCATATGTCACAACTGGATGCTGCTTGTATTTAGCAACATTTTATAGTGTTTTTGGTTTTTTCAGCAATAATTTTAAGATCCCCAATAGTGACATACCAACGACATGTGATTAGAGCTACCCCACTGTCAGAGCACAAAAATCTAACCGGCATTAGTTAATGAGACTTAATGCAAGTGGATTCAGGAGAGAACTCATCATAATGAATGAGTATGAAAGATGTAAAATAGATTTACATCATTGTAAGCAGAGCACCAGAATTCACAAGGTGCTGAGCACAGTGACCTTAGCACCCTTTGCTCCTTGTGATTTTTTCTGTGGATATGAAAATACTCTGCAGATTTACCAGGTTCCAAACTGAGATGCGTCAGCAGACAGGGCGCAAATACTTAACATTTCTTAAGATCTGGTCAAATTAAAATGAGTGTACTTTGCAAACAAGACTGGGCAGCCATCAATACTCCACAAACATTCCAAAGTATTCTTTAATTATATAAACAGTAGCTATTGAAAATCAGTCCTGACAGACTTTTCAGGAAACCGTGGGAAAACACCACCTTACTTCTGCTGGCTAGAAAGTTCTACGTATTTAAGAGGTGAGCTTTCTCAAGGCGTCAGAGCCACACTATTCATTTGCAGGGGTCTCATAAGTGGATCTGCAGTCTGATGAAGCTCCAGGGTGTTTTGTGCTTCCTATGCCTCTTCTCTGCAACCTTTGGGATGAACCTTATACAAAAATCATTAGGCTGCTTTCAAAGTGATTCTTCTGAAAAAATAATCATGTGCTTACTGTTAAGACTACAAAATATCAGCTTGGTCAAATGATGATTACTGGTTTTCATGGTTATTTCCATGAAATGGTTATTTCCTTTTTAGTAGAATTGTCTGACCAATTCAGCTTCCTGGGATGTTACAGATCATAAGCATTTGAGAACCACGGGTCCATCTTGTTTCATTGCACTATTTAGTCTCAGAGTCCAATTGCTTTCTGGTTATTGAAAGAAGCTACATAAAGAGAGGCAGATTTCACCTCAGATGGTTCTGTCCGTGAAATATTTTGCAATGTTGCAGTGCCTGTTATCTGAGGATTTCAAAGCACATCATAAAATATTAACTTATTTTACACTGCCTTTGGGAAGAAACTTCAGGTTCACTGGTAGTTAAAATACATCCACATAATTTAAGAGACTCCCTTAGATTAAGGTGACAAGTAACACCAGAACCTGGAAAACTCTGTCTGGCTTCTGCTCTGAACAGATCTTCCAGGATCATCTCAGCCTCTGCTATATATGGAGGAAAACACTAAATCAGCACTTTACATCCAAATGCCATCAGTTTTCCCCATAAGTAAATGGTTGCCTAAGGATAATCAGACTTCTCTTCTGATTATACTTGTAATCAATGGGATGGTCATAAGAATTAAAAGTATATTCATTAAAAAGTCTTTGTTGCTGAGCACTTATATTCTTTCCTTCTAAAAGGCTTATGCTCTCTTTGTTAAAGACACAGTAAATACATTCTTTTACTTGGAGGGTGGTGCTGCTCACACAGAATGTCACAGAGTAAAAATGGGATTTTGGATGACATGTTACTTTAACCACGGGTAATATTTCAGGGTTTGCAGAGTTGTTAACACATTTCAGGCTCCCAATGTTTTATTTAAGCCCAGAACTCCAAATGTGAGTGGCAGTAAGTCTCTCCTGTGGCTGGCTGGCCCCTCTGCAGCTGGTGCTGAGGAGAGCTAAGAGGCATCTTCTCCTCCTCCCTCCTCTGATGATGCCTTGCATGACCACAGCACTCAAGCTTCTGCTCCTCAGTATTCAGTTTAGTCACCCTGAGAAGGTTTCAAAGCCATTGAGGACGTCCAGTATCCAACTAAGGCTGGTTTCAGCCATGGGAGAGGACATCCAACTGCTTGTGGGCCCTTGGAAACCTTTTGCCCAATGTATGTGTGAAGTACAGCTGATTCACATACAGCTCTGCTCAACTCCAACCCCTGAGCATTTTTACAGCCTCTGATTTCTCTTGCTGCCCTTACAGGCACACACACTCACACCAGAGATCCACACTAGGCCCCTGTCTTACACTGTGCATAAAAATACCAGCCACATATCACAATAAAAAAAATGTTGTGTTTATTTAATGAAGACTAGGGTGCCTGAGGACTATGTTCCAGGGACTCTTCTGTGAAAGCTGCATTTGGCAGCAGTCTTGTTACTTTCTGTAGCTGCAGCATCCCCACCTCCCCAAGCTTTAACACATTTACTGCTGGATTACACTTAATTTCATTTACCGTGAGCATCTTACAGTATAAGCAATGCAAAATTGATTCACATGGGGTAAATTTTCAAGTCAAATTTATGGCTTTTTACCTTTAAAACACCACTGCTGTATTCAGGAGGCAAAAAGCTGGTGGATGTCTGGGCTGTGGACAGCTTACAAATGTGGAGAGAAACTCTCAAACCTTGGAAACTGGAGAAGGCAGATTTTCGTTTCCAATCAAGAGCAAGGATGTGAAAAACGGAATGCCAGATTAAAAATTCAGGACAAGGCAGTCAGAATTTGCCCAGGTTGAAGAATTTGTAAACTTTTTAGTTTGATGAAACTAGTTTTCTTAGAGTTGGCTACCCTTCTTCATTTTAGATTAAAAAATTATAGTAATTGGGTTGGTTTTGTACATATAAACCTTTATACAAGTGTGCTAATACTCAGCTTCACACTGCTTTTAAAGCTATGGATCATAACCCCTTTCCTGAAAGATTCTTTATTTGCACAGGAAGGTAGATTCAAGACAAAACTAAATTCTCAGTTATGTGTGCTACAGCCTTTGATTTTTATCCTGTTATCTAGTTTGTTTAACCAACATGAAACACAATGCCCTGTTCCTAACAGGCACAGTTGGTATTTTCCCAGTTCAGATATTTTCATGTTTAGTGTACTTATTAATAGGACATTTATTAATTTATGTGCTTGCCTTACCACTGAGGGCAATAATTGTTGTGCTTAGCAACCTTAAAGGAAATGGAGTGTGGACTTTTACTCATGTAGCCAATTTCCTAATAGGCTCCATTTCATACCAGAATGAATTCATGTGCTAGGAGTCAAACACATCCGTAATACCAACACTGGCCACAACCCTCCAGGAAAAAATTATCCTTTCCTCTAGTATATTTGAAGTAATTTGTGAATATTGTCCACAAATAATTATCAGTATCTTTATGAGGAGCTTGTTTTACTTGACTGTTGTGTTACTTTTGGTTGGCTACAATAGCTAATAACTTTATAATCTGTTTCTCTTTCGAAGATCCAAAACCACAGATGTCAAAAGCACATTTCCAACACAAATATTAGCTATTTTGGAAGTAATGGTTTCTGTCCTGCAATCACTCTGAAATCTGCATTGAGATGCTCTCTGTGGTGACCATCCACCACTATTCTGTTTGCAGCCTCCTACATTCACAACCTCCACTCAGAACAAATTCAAATTTTTGTCAAATTTACATACAGTTTATCTCTGCAATATTAACCTAGCTGTAAGGACAACGTCTTTCCAATTTTTCCTCTTCCAAAAACATTCAGCTACTTTTAGCATCATGTCTTGAGTTCACAGAACAAGGCTGTAAAATGAGGGAGAAAGGAAGAGGAGGGATTCAGACCTCCCTGGCCAAAGGTGCTCAGTAGATAGATAGCAGTCTCATATAGATAGCAGGGACTCTGCTGTAGAGTCACTGCTATCTGTACCTGAACGCCTTCTCTTCCAATCTGCAGATAAGAGTGACATGTGAGGTGCCCATAAGGGCTGCAGACTGTCTACATGACAATATATATCCAACAGTTCCTAAACATGGATGCAAAGTCCTGGTGAGAATATCTTCCTTTTTTTTTTAACCTTCTGTTTATAACTGCTGTAGGCATTTCTGGAGGAGGAGGCACTGCTGGATTTTACTTCCAAGTCTCATAAAATATTAACTATTTCCAATATTTTATGAGAAGATCTCTTGGTTTTGTGCATAAAGAACAGCTGCATTTCAAATAATACTGGCGAATTCTGCAAAATGTAAGAAAAAAACTAGATTTAATCTCAGAGTTTTAACACCCTCCTGGATTTATCTGGCAATTGCTTTTCCTTGCGGATCTGCATATGAGACACTGTCTGACTACAAGACCTAAATCTCCTCAAATCACAAAAAAATACAGTGTTACACCATCAACATCAACAATGCAGCAACAATAACTTCTTAACCCTTACAATATTAAAAAAACCTGAGCATCACCTCTACATTCTTCACCACCAGCCTGCTCCTGATCAGTTTGGTAAAGCACTGGATGTGAAATGCATCTCAATGTAGTTGTGCACATTTTCTGCCACCACAAACATTGTATAATCTGAGTTAAACCTCTACTCCTGAAACACCCCAGCTCAGGAGGACTTCTAACATAGACACAAAGGCCAGGAGACCACGTTTGACAGTAGCTCACACTTTGAGTACTGAAGGAAAAGTAGGTGAAAAACATCTAAAGTTGGAATATATGAATACAGAATGAAAATATCTAGACCCTAAAAACACGATTTAAAAAAAAATCTGTTGTTCAGACTGTGACTCAGAAAGAAAAGAAATAAATTCAGTCTGTGAGGGGATCTTTTGTCCTCAAAAAAAATTCTTTCAGAACTGTCTGAGCAAACAAGCACATGCTCCTGGCCTCAAACATCCAAAAACAGACCACAGGAACTGAAGACAGAATAAAATTTCTTTTCGTCTTCTCACCTGAATATTTACAGAACTATGCACTGCCCTCCCAGTTTGTATTAGGCAGGACAGGAACGAGAGATGAGATGAAAAAGGGGCATCCAAAGATCTTTCAGAAAGTAACAGTAGAGATGCTTCTGAGGACACATATTCCGTATTTCAAGTCACTGGTTTTACAGACAGTGTTCTAGGATGAAAATCACAAAATCTGTCTAATTTAAGTTTTGTTGCCAGCTGCTTGAACCAAAGATTAGGTAGGATTTAAGCACTCCCAATGGCCTGTGAAATGGAGAGGGTTTCAACCTACAGAAATAACTCGCCAGATATTTGCCAGGAAGAAAATTGCTGTCTATTTAAAATAAAAGGATGTGTAAGAGCAAGAAGATTCAGACTGATTCCTGTGTTCCCCTTTTACCAGGAAGACTGATTTTAAACACTTTAAATAACTACATTCTTTCGTGTTCCCTGTGTATACTCTGCACTTTGTCTTTCTTCTTATTTTCTATTGTCAGTATTTCCTTGGTTCTTTTTTTCCTTTGCATTGTCTTTTCTCTTTCATGTCTTTCCTTTGTCAAATTCCTCCCAGTGCCAATACTAAAGAGCTTGTAGAATGAACTGGATGCCACGTCCACTTATAAAGTTACACAGACAAACAGAAAAATCCATTCAATTGTGCCTTCTTTTTTAACTGTTCCTGTCCATCACTACCCTTAACAGTTAGTACTGGGACTTTTGGAAGTGTCTTAGACCTCATGATTTGTGGCTTCAAAGTAAATTTGCTGTAGCTGTCCAGAAGCTGTGCACCTCTCAAGCTCTCAGACCCTTTGCTCTATAATTTTATTTCTGACTGCACAATAATGGTGCTATGTCCAGAAGAATTCAAGATGAGGATTAAAAATAATGTCCTAGGCACAACCTCTCCCCAGATTTTCCAAGTTTGCCCTGCCAAGTGAGGTTCAACAGACTGGGCTTCTGGGTTAATTCTCAGGAAGCAGCAAGTCAGATCTCTGGAAGCAAACCAGTTAATTTTCCTGGGAACTCTTGCTGAAATGCTTAAAGCAAGTAGCTGTGCTGATTGCCCTCAAAGAGACCAATCAGTTTGGCACAATGAGTTTCCCCTTCAAGCACAGATATTATTTAAAAGAAATTATATAGGATGAGCCTTTTGGCACCATGTGCTTTGTAATTATATCCTCCCTATCCTACTGTCCTAATCACTCCAGTCTCCCACTCTCACTTTTGGCCAATTGTTTTTCTTGAGCCCGCTGGCTATTTCTCTTTTTTGGGAGGAGCTTTTCCTTTTACTTCTTCCAGCTGCCATTAGGGCACATATTAATATAGTTGGGTCCCAGCTATTTTATTATGAGACAGCAATATAAGCCTGTTTTCCAGATGAGTATCTGCCTTCAGACACTGGGAAAAGGGAGAAAATGCTGGGGTGGAAATGCCTATTATAAAATGTAAAAGCACACTAGTGTGTGCAGTGAGCAGTGTCAGTGCAACCCTCCCACTCCATTTCTGGCTCTGCCATCATTGTGGCACCAGGCCTGAGTGAAGCTGCTGCCACCAGTTACTCACAAGTACCTTGGGACAAAACTTGGCTACTTTCTCCATGTGCTTTTGAGATCCTATGTTGAAAAACCCTGAGAACATCCAAGCATTATTGTTATTCAGCACTCAGAGTATATCTAACAGG